CTACTATGGCAGACGACTTCGGACTAGGTGCGTTCTACATGGTCTCCCTGAAAACAAGAACAAGTTGCGATAACGAGGTCAACCCATTTCTATCAATCGAAAGGAGACCGCGACCACACCAGAGGCCACAACATCTTGGTCTTCATATATTCAATCAAAAGTTGCTTTAATTCACCTCATTTTGCAGTGAATTTTATAACGATAAACTGTATCCATCCCATTTCGTTAAAGGTGATGAAGGAGCGGTAGTTGGATTTTACCACAATTATATTAATAGACATAATGTTTCCATTGAATTTCACATAATCTCGCTTTCCCAAAAGGCATTCTTATCCAAAGTGGACGTCAATTTTGACCTTGTTTAGGTGTTAGCAATACCATTGGGGGGACTCAAACCATGGCAGTGAAGCGTATAATCTCGACATGTTAACCACTACGCCACATTACCACGAGTTCACTATGCGATGTCGAAACTGCAGTACACCCTGGATGAGAATAACTTTTGGAAAACAACACCATGTGAACTTTGATGGAAACTCTATGCATACTGATATCATTGTAAGCAAATTAAATTACTCGTTCTTTATCACCTTCAACAAAATAGGGTGAACGCAGCTCGTATACTTGTATCACTGGTAGTCTCGAGAACCTAGTCAAAACGAAATTATGCTTTTGTCATTAAACTAGATATTTGCATAACTTTTAGTTCGATAGCGAGGCGAATGGAAAGAACATATAATCTGGACCCACCAAAACCTTGAAATTGTGCGCATCGTCTAGCACCTCCGATAAAACCTATAACATAAATAGTCAGAGAAAAAACCCATATTTTAGTTATTCGCACAAATATTCAGTTATAACCTCATAACTCAACTTTTCAAACGAAATAAAAAATACGCGACTTTGAAATAGCTTTTCGTGTTAACCACAGTTAACCATTACTGATTTTTTCATAAGTAGCATTTTATGTCACACCTGAGTTTGCATAATTTTGCCTATATAATTCGTAGCAATTACCTCTTTCGACTGGTTTATCCTCAATTGATCCCGGGCGATCAGTCTAACTTAAAAACCAGTATAAAGTCAGAAGTTTGACAGCTGCTAGTCAAAACTTGCCAAATTTGAGATGTATTCACCCTATTTCTTTTAAGCTGATGAAGGACTGGTAGAAGAATTTTCCCACAATGATATGAGTATAGCTAATTTTTCCATTGAATTTCACAGAGTTTTGCTTTGCTAAAAGTTGTTCTCATCCCGGCTGGTGTTGACTGCAGCCGGGATGAGAACAACTTTTAGCAAAGCAAAACTCTGTGAAATTCAATGGAAAAATTAGCTATACTCATATCATTGTAGGAAAATTCTTCTACCAGTCCTTCATCACCTTAAAAGAAATCGGTTGAATACATCTCATATTACTGATTTACTGGTAGTCTCGAAACAATATTTAAATGCGAAAAATAAAACTTGTTAAAGCCAATTTTCCAATCTGTATACCCAGGTTTTTTGACGGACTATGCAGCACCTCTGCTACCTTGTACAAAAGAGCCCGCCATAGTGGTAATTAAGGACCAATGTCCCTTCTTCCATCATATGAAGTCAATGGGGCCATGTTTGAACATGTACAACGCAGCCTAGTTGCATCACCGGACACTGTCTCAATAGTCATTCGAAGTGTTTGACATTGGGTGTTCAGTAGTACAGTTACACTCGTCAGTTCGACTCTTCAATGCATACCAGAATTGTTCACATCACTGTGCCCTGATTTGGTTCGTACATCAGGTCAGGATAGTATTACGGGCATATACAAAAGTGGAAAGAACGAGTGTGCGCGACAAGTAGTTTGCTGACTTGGCAAAATAACCGCGTGAGGCTAGCGTAAGGTGAACTTTTGGCTGTAGTTGGCGCGGGAGTCGGTACAGAAACGGGCCACACCGCTTGTAGGATTGGCCCTCAAGACTAATGGACTGTAGGACGATAGAGCGTTGTGAGGAGGTGAGGTTATGTTTGGACCACAGGCTGATTTGGTCTCTGCCCGGCCAGCAGAATGGGACCGGTTGAAGGGAGGCGAATTAGGGAGACAGGCCTCAGAAACGGAAAGCCAATTCACTGCTGCCCATCCGCCTGACCACATTCATTGTCTGACTTCTCACCACTTTCGACTGATCTAATAACGGCGCTTGACCTCCGCCAGACTGCAGAAACCCCGCGCTATCTGTCGTCTCGACAACCGGCCGAATGGCGTTGGCGCGAAATTGAATTAGCCGCCTCAAACACTTTTCTCACAAACGCACTGACGTCCGGCACCAACAGACACAATCACCTCTTTCCTGCCTTGTTGCACTCTGCCCGTCTGCTGCCTGTTCGTCTATAAGAGACGTACAGGTCTGACAACAGCTATGCTGAGTATCCAACTCTTCGGCTGGCACAACCGTGTATGTACCAGGCCACCGACAGAACAAAAGAGCACGACATGACAAAGCTTATCAGCATTTACAAACGCCTTGGTG